CTTTTGCTGTGCCAGGCCCTGGTAGTGAAATGCTTTTTGAACGCAGATGCAGCATAACCTAGGTTCATTGCCCCTAATTTAAAGCAGTTTTAACTCCTGTGAATCAACTGCATTGGTGAGTCAAGTGGATTTTACATTGTAATGTGTGGATGAGTAGCATTTCTACTTGGCTGAGACCACAGTTATTAGGTAATATCTGCGTTTTCATATATATATATATGTATACACACAATATATATAAAAATGTAATTAATGTGCAGACAGGTTTTTTATTCAGCATACAACCTGTACACGTACAATATCTCGCTTGTTAATGACAGTTTTGCAACAAATGCTCCACCATTTTACTTAGTTACTGAGATAAAGTTCTTAGTTAGTTTTGTGATTTCCAGTGTATGTCCAAAAGAAAGTAGAAAAGAATGGACTTTCACCATCTCCAAGAGCAGAATACAGAGGAGGGTAAGAGGTGGTGTTTTCATTTTCAGCTGTAAAATCTGTGAGGTAGAAGGACTAGGGACTTCTCCAGGTGGTCTTGCAGCTGTGAGATTTGCAAAGCTATTTCCTTTCCCTTTTGCAGTCAGGAGAAATTTATGTGCTATGGAAACGATGGCATATGGCCCTTCTTCTGCAAATGCTATTCCAAGTATTTTTACAACCTCCCTTCACAGAAATAAAAACCATTGGGCTTTAGCATGTGCTCCGTGTCTTTGCTTTCCACCTTACCACAGAATAGCAGCATGTTAGGTGGCTTTTCAGGGAGCTCCAGAGTAGCCAAATTACGAGGCTTCTCTCCCAAAACCAGGTCCAGATCAGTATAACGTGCCACCGTGTGCGTTGAGTGGAGTCCTTCCTCAGGTGGATCCTGTATGACAAATCTTGTCCATAAATTAACTACCAGAGAAGATTTTGTTCTCAGAACTGTTGCTTGTGCATCACTAATGCGTCACAGAGGGATTGCAGCCCAGTTGCAGGGCTAACTGGGCAGAGGAGGTAACTGTAACCTGTGTAGCTCCTCAGGGATCTTTTGCCAAGGCTTTTTTGGGTTTTTTCCCTCCCCAGCTGGGAAGGCCTTGCAGTGCACACAGCCCCTGGACAGATAGCGCATTGTTGAGCTACCTTGCCAGGGAACACGTTGTATTTGCATTTCAGTTGCCTCCAGCTTTGAACTTCATTGTTCCAGCCTCCCCTGAATAGCAGCTATTGACCCCTAACAATGTACATTTGTTTAAATCAAACCCTTTCCTACTTGCTTTAAAAAGTTTATTTTAGGACTAGTCCAACCAAGTGAAGGCTTCTGTGCAGGCTCTTTTTTTTCCCCCCTTCATAGCCAGAAAAAAAAATCAGGATTAATTATTTATTTTTGAGGTGGAAAACATTCTCCTCCTTTGTGAGAGGCTATTTTGAATGCTGAGGGTTTGGCAAATTTTGTTGTGGCTTAATGTTTATAAGCTTTTCATTGCCCTTGAAAGCATAAATATAATGTTACTTGAGCTTGGAGATTTTGGCAAATACTAAACCAGCAGAACAACAGGGGTTTGGTTGTCCTGAAGCACTTGAAGAACTTGACTGCATTTTGACAAATAGTTTTTTTGCTCTTTATGCGTGCATTTAGATGGATTGAAGTAATCTAGGAGGAGGAGGAGGAGACTGACCAGTACAGACACTTAATGCCCAGCAGCAGGCTGGTGAAAGCGTTTCACTGGGTCGTGGGAAGTGTGGTGCCAAATTCCCTTTGTTGCTTCATTACTGTAGTACGTACCTTCACCTCTTGAGCCATCAGATCTCCAGAGCTTGGTGATGTTAGTAGCCACCTTCATTAAACCAGTTGTGATTTGTGAATGAAACTATGGCTGTTTACTTGGGTGGAGGGAAGCTTTACTGTGCCTTGCTGCTGTGGGGTGATTGGGTCAAGGCAGAAAGCCCAGTGGAGTAAAAATTTGCTATGAGCTGGACAACCTTGTAGACCTTCTGTTTTATGCCAGAATGATTCCACTAATAACAAAAAAAATATTCAAACTTGAAACATATCAGATAGATAGAGGTTGTTTCGTGGCTGATGATTGTTTCTTTTGGTGTCCTACACTAACTCAGGAGTATTGCACCTCATGAGGTTTCTGTTGGTATTTCTGTTGGATGTATTACGAAGAGTGTTGCCAGCAGGTCAAGGGAGGTGATCCTTCTCCTTTACTCAAGCACTGGTGAGGCCACACCTGGAGTGCTGGGTCTGATTCTGGGCTCTCCAATACAGGAGGGACATGGATGTACTGGATAGGGTCCAACGAAGGACCACGAAGGTGGTAACGGGACTGGAGCATCTCTCCTGTGAGGAAAGGCTGAGAGAGCTGGAACCATCCAGCTTGGAGAAGGCTCAGCGGGGATCTCATCAAGGTATATAAATACCTAATGGGAAGGTGCAAAGAGGAGGAAGCCAGACTCTTCTCGTTGGTGCCCAGTGACAGGACTGGAGGCGGTGGGCACAAACTGAAACACAGGAGGTGCATCTGAACATCAGGAAACACTTTTTTGCTGTGAGGGTGACCGAGGACTGGCACAGGCTGCCCAGAGAGGTTGTGGAGTCTCTCGTTCTTGAGGATACTCAGCAGCCATCTGAACATGATCCTGGGCCACCAGCTCTAGGTGGCCCTGCTTGAGCAGGAGGGTTGGAGTAGGCGCTCTCCAAAGGTCCCTCTCAGCCTTCTGTAATGCACAGGTGAAGTGAGGTGGCTGAGAACATACAGGAATCTGAGGCAGAAGACTCGGCTCACCTTGCTTTGAGTGTATTGCATGATACAGTCATGGGTACATGATATCCCATGCGGGCTTTAGACCCGTGCTGCAGTGGGGTAGGTGGGGTGGGCGGCAGCTGGGGCCAAGCTCTGCACTGCACCTCCCTGCTGGGGCCAAGGGGTGGCTGAAGCCTCAGGGTTTCACTCTCGGGTGCTCTGGGGGATGGTGGGCTGATGTAGCAACTGCCTTAACATCAGACAGCCCTTTGTCTCCCTCCCCAGCGCTTGTGGTGAATCCTCCTTAATACCAAGGATGTCTCCTTCAAAGCTGTCACCGCTCCTGCACCTGTACTTAAGGGACCTAGGTCTCTCTTTGCTGGGTCCGATGAGGAGGTACCAGAGGAAGTCCAAGAGCAATGCCCTCCTGTCAGCCTTCCTCCCCCTGGGAAGTGCAGGGTGTTCGTGTCCTCAGACCCGTCAGCGTGAGGGTGTCTGTGCTGCTCGAGAAGGCGAAAAACAGAGTGGTGCCCTGTGTTTTCTGACAGCCAAAGTCCAATGCAGACTCAAGGGACCGGGTGGAATTCTTCCCACTGCTATCACTGGGTTTTTAATGAAATGTTCAGGTCCTCTCTATTGCTTTTACCACTTCGGGGGAGTCCTTTCCCTGCTGTTTCACAGTCCCTTGCTCCCCGCTACCCACCTCAGGTGCTAGTGCTCTCTGTTCTGCTCCCCTCTGCCCTCACCCTGTGCTTTTGAGTCGACATACCCTGCGTTTGACCTGCCTTGGACTTGCTGTAAACCTGGAAACCATCTGGCTTGAGGTTTCGGAGGTAAAAGGGCAAACAGCTCCTTAGGCATTTGCAGCATTTAAAATGGAAAGCAGTTTGTCAAAAGACAGGGGAAGAAAATAATGAGGGATGTTCTTACATGGTCCTCTGTGTGCAGCTAAGCTTTTACTGCTCAGGGAAACCAAGCAGCAAGAGTTTTTACATTCTCCGTAAGCATTATTTTGTATCTCAGAGCTGCTGTTCTCTCATCATAGAAACAGGAATAATGTTTATTCAACTTTATCTAAAGCATATGCAGCTTGTAACTGAAGTCTGTGGCAGACTCATGTTCCACTTGCCTTATTTGTAACAGAAATAAAAACCTGTATTTGTCGTGATTGTTAATCAGGACCCTGCTCCCCACCAACTTTAACAAAGCTGTAGGTCTGTGTTTCTGTGTGGAGAAATTCAGACAAGGACAAACTTGGGATGCTAGCGTGCAAAATTAATTATCTGAATTGTTTTTTTCAGTGATGGTACACACGTAATCACCACCTTATGATTATCAGGGTATATCCCAACCTTTTTCTACTATCTCTTTACTTTTTCTTTAGGAGAGAATTTGACTGTTGGAAAAAGAAATCTCTGTTCTGTAAATACCACTAAAATACTGTGTTTTCATGCCAGCTGAAGCCTTTTCCTATGCTGGAGCAACTTGAGTGGGTATCGTTATTGGGATGGCTTTTGCTGCAGCTGCAGCATCAGCTGTGGTTCCTCCTGCCACATTCTCAGTGCTGGATATTTCTCTTTTCTTGTTGCTGGATCTACCAGCCAAGTGAAAATTAAAATAGTCTGTACCTACCCTGTCTTATTAGACTGGCATGAGTGTCTCATTGATAGTGTCTCTGTTGCCTCCTCCTCTCTAAAAAGTGTATGTTACTTCTCTGTAACCTTGCTCGCTAGTAGTTGTTTTGTTTTAAAAAAAAAAATCCTCTGCGTTGTTGTGCAGCTGAAATAGGAGGACCATATAAAAGGCAAAGTGGTTTAGAAAAAAGGTGAAAGATGATAGAGGAGGAAGTGCTGAACAGAGGTTGAAAATAAACAGGTAGGGACCCAGCCGGCTTTGAGGAGGATCTTTTAAAAAGTGTATAAATTCAAACACCGCTTTGTAATTTTACGTGTGCTAACATGAGGCACATGACTCAGAGGATTGGTTCCAGCTGCTCTTGCCAGCATTTAGGAACTTCTGCTGGAAAAAAGAAAAAAAGAAAAAAAAAAGGCACTTCAGTGCAGTTCTCCTGTGTTAACTGTTCCAGCAGAAACCAACAAATACTTGCTGAGAGATTATTTTATTTTATTTTATTTCCTTCTTTCACTTGCTTATTTGAATTTTGCTTTTGCTTCCTCTCCTTTTACTTGATAAGTATTTCCAGAGAAAAATATTGAGTGAAATTCTTTTTTCAGTTTTCAGTTATATCATCTATAACTCTTGTTTTGTTTATTGTAGGGGTCTCGAGTCTGGCTGCGAGAAAATAATCAGCATTATCCCAGTACTGTTCATTCCTGTGCAGAAGGAGTCGTCGTATTCAGGACAGACTATGGTCAGGTATGGGCATCACACCTCTGTGCTTTCTCCTTTTTGCCACTCTGTGGAAAAGAAGCTGTTCTCCTTGTGGGAAAGGCATAAGGGAAACTAAAAGCCTTAGGTCTGTGAATAAAATATTCATTTTGTATGACCTGAATGGGCAACTTTGGTTTTAATAGCTCTTTCCATTGCCTGTCTGGTCAGTTATGATGATGGTGCCTGGCAAACCTGAAGCAATGCTGCCAGGTGCAAGAGCCTTGTTCCACATGGGTTGGTGGTTATGTTTACTGGAGGTAGGTGGCCTCTCCACGGTTGTATTCCCTTATAATAACAGAAAGTGGGGGCTGGCATGTGGCACTGTGGCATCATGGTAGTGGAGTGTCACTGATTCAATGAGAGGTAGCAAGGCACACCTCGCAGAGCATAACTGGGGCAGCTCTACCACCTCCTGTCGCAAGAGGATTGTGAAGGAAGGAGACCATTACTCCACTCTCATTGCTTTTTTGGTCTGGGTTCTGTTCTGGATTTGTTTTATTTTTATTTTAACTGCTTCCTCGCTGTCAAGTGCTCCTGGCTCCTGCCTGCCTGCAGGGATGGATAGAGGTGGGTCCAAGCATCTCCCCTGGTTACCTTGGCCATCTCAGGCAGTGCATGCCTGTGTGGCTGGCAGCCAGCTGGTGAAGGAAGCTGGTGTGGAGTTTGTTTCTTCCCCACCCCCCAGGTTTTTGTTTTTTTTTTTTTTTTTTATTTTCTCTTTTAACCCCCTAGAAGAAGACAGAACTAGCCCTGCCAGTTGCTGACAGCTTGGAATTGCTCTGCTTTCTCACACACTTACTTTTTATTTATCCATTTATTCTGCTCTCCATTAGGCCATAGTTTATCCAGACCTAGCTTCCTGTAGCTTCCCTGAAGAAATTTCAGTTTGAGGTTGAGTCGGATATAAACAGTTAGGCTGAGACAGTCATCAACCTCCAGAGGACTCTCCCTTTGACTTTTGGAGGATGTTTTTTCCCTTTTCTTAGTTTCTCAGTTGCACCAGATGAAGGTGGCTTCAGCTAGTGAACGAGGCTGAGAAAAGCATGGTAGACTGGAAAACGTGTTGTCTGTTCTCGCTGCCTTCACTTAACATCCTTCTGGGTAAGCATGGTGGAAAAGCATGTCTTCTAGAGCCAGGGAACCCTTACTTCCCTTACATGCCTTTTTCCAGGCAGGAAAGGAACCAGCAGAATTGCAGGGTGGTTTTTTTGGTGGGCAAGATATAACCTACTCAAGGTTAAATTGCTGCTGTCCTGGCAGTGACATATGGAAATGGGGGTGAAACAACCAGGATCAGACGCAGAGAAAACGATGTCTTCCTTCTCTTCAGAGTCCCTGGGTGTGTGGCAAAGGAAACGGGGTGACAGAGAGAAGGTCATGGCCAAGCACTTTTGTCTGGTCATGTCTCTGGTGGCGAAACTTAGTTGTGCTTTACATCCCTGGGGAGGCAGAGAGATGGGTGAAAGTCACTGCTCTCCTCAGCATCTGAAGAGGTAGTCTCAGCCCAATTCCCTGACAGGTGTTGCGTTCTTACTCCTATCCACTGCCTTCCTTCCTAACATCACTGGCTGGTTCTTGGGCCAACGCCTACATCCTCCTAGAAGCTATGCTAAGGCACATGGAGGACAGTGAGGTGATTCAAGACAGCTAGCACGGCTTCACCAAGGGCAAGTCTTACCTGACCAACCAAGTGGCCTTCTATGATGGAGTGACCACATCAGTGAACAAGGGAAGAGCTACAGATGTCATCTGTCTGGACTTCTGTAAGGCCTTTGACACGGTCTGCCGCAACATCCTTCTCTCTAATTCTTAGAGTTATGGATTTGATGAGTGGACTGTTTGGTGGATGAGGAATTGGTTGGATGGTGGCACCGAGAGGGTAGTGGTCAATGGCTAAATGTCTAGATGGAGATCACTGACAAGTGCTGTCCCTCAGGGGTCCATATTAAGACCAGTACTTTTAGTATCTTCATCAGTGACATAGACAGTGGGATTGAGTACACTCTCAGTAAGTTTGCAGACAAGACCAAGCCAAGTGGGGCAGTTGACACGCCTGAGGGACAGGATGCCGTCCAGAGGGACCTGGACAAGCTTGAGAAGTGGGCCCACGTGAACCTCATGAGGTTCAACAAGGCCAAATGCAAGGTCCTCTACTGGGATTGGGCAGTCCCTGGTGTCAATACAGGCTGGGGGATGAAGGCATTGAGAGCAGCCCTGCATAGAATGACTTGGGAGTACTGGTGGATGAGAAGCTGAACACAAGCAGACAACGTGCGCTTGCAGCCCAGAAGGCCAATAACTCTATCCTGGGCTGCATCAAAGGAAGCGTGGCCAGCAGGTCGAGGGAGGTGATTCTGCCCCTCTACTCCACTCCTGTGAGACCCAACCTGGAGTACTGTGTCCAGTTCTGGACTCCTCAGCCCAGGAAGGACATGGACCTGTTGGAGCGGGTCCAGAGGAGGGCCACAAAAATGATCAGAGGGCTGGAGCACCTCTCCTCTGAAGCAAGGTTGAGAGAGTTGGGGTTGTTAAGCCTGGAGAAGAGAAGGCTCTGGGGAGATCTTAGTGTGGCCTTTCAGGACTTAAAGGGAGCCTATAAGAAAGATGGGGACAAAATTTTTAGCAGGGCCTATAGTGATAGAACAAGGGGTAATAATTTTAAAATAAAAGAGGGGAGATTTAGATTAGATATAAGGAAGAAATTTTTTACAATGAGGATGGTGAAACACTGGAACAGGTTGCCAGGAGAGGTAGTAGAAGCCTCATCCCTGAAAGCATTCAAGGTCAGGCTGGACGGGGCTCTGAGCAACCTGATCTAGTTGAAGATGTCCCTGCTCCCTGCAGAGGGGTTGGAGTAGATGTCATTTAAAGGTCCCTTTTTTTTGTACCTGCACCAAGTTATCAGATATATTGGATTGGTGAGAAAGACAAAGGTGGTATGGGAGAAGACATCCACAAAACTAGACTGAGAACTACTACCGCTACGTGCAAAGCCTCCTTACAGAGAAACAAGAGGGCCTCCCATGTTAAACTGTGCATTTACTGTTGCTCAGATTTGTGAGATTGAATATTTCAACCTGTCCTACTGAAATTTGAGGGCCAGTAAAGCGGAGAGCCTGAGATTATCTCTTCTGTTGCCTCTTTGAAGCTGAAAAGAGAAGAATCCATCACATCAAAGCATCGCTGTTACATTTGGGTTGCAGAGGAGGAAGGCCATGTGTGGTGTTAACACTAATGTGTTCCAAGCAATGTCCAGCATTGGACCTTTCATTTAAACATAAGCCCTCTCCAGTTCCTAGTAGGAGTGACCTGATGGGATGCATCCACGGGTCCTGAGTGTAGGAAGGATTACCTGTAATTTTTGCAGGATTTTTTAATTGGACATGTAGTGGTAAAGAACCTGACTTTTAAAAGTGTTTTGAGTTTCAAACCCTCATACTTGCAGGAACTGCAGATGCTGTTGTAAAGCTTGCTTTGGTGCCCTAGGAGAGGATGGCAGAGCTAATGTTGGCATCTGCAAGTGGAAAAGCTGCTTGCTAATTGTCTTCTGTGCATGTGTGATGTTGCTGCCTTTCTGTGGTGTACATAATCTGAGCTGAAACTTCAGGTAATGTGAGAAAAGCCTCAAGTCATTACCATGATGCTGTCTGACTGATTACATTTCCATAGAAAACCTTGGTGCCATAAATGTCACTGGGAAAAAAACAAACAAACAAACAAACCACCTTCTTTGTTTTGGCCTGCTTGTGTTAAAAGCAGGTGGTGTGAAACGGGGAGGACGTAGGGAGCAGCCTTCAGACCCATGACGTGGCATTCGCCTCTGGTGGGTCTGAGCTGGCTGCAGCCCAGCTGAAGGCATACCAGCGATTCACTGCAGTTGGTAACTTCAGTCCTTTTCAAGGCTTATGTTTTCAGGAGTGCGCTTTGCGTGTAAAAAGACCATGCCAGCTGATATTGGCCAATTTATGTTTTTTCTCCTGTTGCTTTTCCTGATCCTCTTTTAGACCATTGCACCCTTGCCATGTGGTTGCCCATGAGCCGCAGATGGCTGCAAGCAGGTGAAATGAAACCGAGATAATGCCCGAAGGTTACCTCTGATGGCTTGGTAAATCCTGCAATGCTGTATATCACTTTGAAGAACGAGGCAGGGGAAGCAAGGGGTGAGGTTGCAGAACTATGGGGTGATGACGATTTTTGAAGCATGGCTGCAGTATTGATTCCAGACCCTTTTGACAGCTGCAGCTCATGTTCAAGTCAGATTACAAACTGATGAAAATGTTGGGACCTTATCAAAGCACAGCATTGTTATCCATCTTCTCCGATTCAGCAGCTTTTACTAGGCTTTGTACTTCTTGCCTTTCCACTGAGCATTCTAGATGACTTCTCAAGATGTAACTGAAGGGGCAGTGGGACTAAGAAGGTGTGTTTGCTGGAGTTGTGCTCAGATTTTACTTTTATAAGTTTGGACTTCATGTCTTTGCCTACATCAATTTGCAGAATAATGAAAATAATCATAGTGCAGTACATTATTTCTTAATTTCTTCTTCCTGTTCTGTTCTGAGTGGTGGAAATAAATTTGCCACAAAAACCTGTGGCAGCATACAGTTTTATGCTGAAGGGGTCTTGGTTGTAGCGAGTCATAACCAATGCAAATATTCTTGCAAGAATATGCCATAACCTTTGAGCATTTTAACAAGTTACCTGTCAAGTATCAAATCCTTTCTTGATAATCACATGGTGATATAATTGCTTCTTGAGTATTTTTGTGTTGCCCAAAATTTTCAATTAAGCAGTCCATTAGTTAATTATCGTTAAAGACTACTGTGGGTACTGCCTTCTGCTGTTGTCACCCTCTGCATGAGATGGTTGTAAAACTAGCTGATTTGATAGGCTGTATGGAATACCTGATATGTATGATACGGAATAATAAAAAAGGGAATTTCAGGTTGTAGGTTTGGGTTTCCCTGAGCAAATAGCTATGAAAG